TTATATAATATTTTTTGTTTTTATACTCAATTTCCATACACGACAATGTAATGCAACTGTTTCATGGTTGTTAAAAAAATATACAAGACAATTACGTCACAATCCACAAATGGAATCCCGCAATACAATACAAAAGGATAACTAATATTCAAACTTAGGGGATTTCGATCAAAGAAAAAAAATGATAAAAACAGATGATCAATAGGTAGAGTATAGTATTATATATTGTCTCGAAGTTTACAATTCTTATTAAGTAGTCAATTGATGTGGAATCTTTTGCAATTTCATGGGGAAGATTAGCTAGAACCTAATTGTTTTAGGTCTAATTTCAATGCCTTCAATTACAAGCCCTCCTTTGAGCTGGCAACCTTTGACTTCCCTCAAACTCATTGTCACCTCCTCATCATCTTCCCCACTAAAAAACTCTCCCAACTCAATCTCCATCCACCCATCTTCTCTTCCTCTTAGAACTTCCCAGTCCCCTTCATTCACTTCCTTCTCCATCCCATCCTGTTTTCCTAGAAAAGCTGTTCCACTGGAAATTCGATCCCTCACCTCAATTGACATCTCTAATGGCCTTGAATCAAACCCGTAGGCACGATCAGAGATTTTCATTATAACATAAGCCCCATATGTAGTATTCAGCGTCAACATTCCTGTTCTAATCTTCCCCTGTATCTCTAACCAATCTGTTGCTCTCAACACAGCTGCTGTAGAGAACCTGATGATAACACAATTTAAAAACTGTAATTAAATGCTATGTTCAAACATTATGTCTGTAATATTTTCCGTATCTGACACTAAAAAAGCTTAGTTGATTTAACACGCGCTAATTTATTTTTTCAGATGAATCAAAATGTATAAATATTATTGGAGTCAAAGAGGCACTCAACAAGAGCTAAGTTAATTTAAGGTGTACATAAATATGCAATTTAATACCCTATTAATTTAAAAACTTTTTTTAAAAAAAATACTAATAAGAGTTTGGTTGATTCAAACTCCGATTTGTCAAGCAGCTAACAATGTAATTTAATCGAACCTGGTTGATGCACTAGAAATCCAACTCCAACGTATAGGATCATTGCCCCAAGTGATGGATAGCTCCTTTGCAGATAAAATGTAGGACTTTTTTCCAGATGATTTCTCCAGCTTAAAGCTCTGTTTTCACAGGGAATTAAAGTCCCAGAATCGATAAAAACACAGAATCAAGTGGCTTAATTCGGAGTTCGGAACAGTTCATAAATATTTCTAAGAAAATATAAATCTAAAATTATGTATGAACAATGGGAAAACATAATTAATCAATCACCTTGGTGCCAGCATCAAGGAGAAGAGGGTGACACAAACAGAGGAAAAGCTCTTTCTTTGAGGAGAACTCGAGAGGATTCCTTAATCTGGAGATAATATCTCCATAATCTGCCGGTAGAAACCTTTCCCAAACATAATCAGACTCAATTGCTGACCGGAAACTTGTGGAAACCAGAGATGATCTGAGTGCATCTTTCGGAGACGTGAGGGAGAGGATTTCAGACAGGCAGTGTTCCGGCAACATGGTATGAAAAATTGAAAATGATGGAAACTGGACTTCAATTATTGTAAGCAGTACTACTATACGTGTTTCTGTATCATTTGTCCATTTTTCTAGTAGGATTTACCAGATTTTTGTAATCTTTAATCAAGGAAGGACGAAACTTTCTTTTCTAATTTTTTCTAGAAAGGATGATGGCATTTTTGGATACATTTATTGCAAAAAAGGCCCACTTTCATTTTCATACATTTGGAGTTTTGGAGTTTAGTCGGTTGAAATGGTCCTACTCGTTGCGTTTAAAATGGGCAAATTTGAGAAGAATCAGAACGTCGTCGATTCATCATTAAGAATTTAAAAACTCATTAGTAAAAACATTTTAATTTAGGGTTGAAGTTTATATGTAAAAAAAAATATAGATAGATATTTAAATTCTTGGAGTGTTTAAAAAAAAATTAAAACTTGATATTTTTTTGGATAAATGGAAAAGGAAAAGAAATCTTTCATCTCACAAAGCATTGGATGAAAAAATTTAAATTATGTGGTGTTATAGAGACAATATTTTTATCTCATTTTTTTATATAATTTTTATATGTTATTAAATGAGTGGATGCATTTAATATCATAAATCTTATATAAATTAAAATAATCAATCATTTTAATGTTACGTCAAGTTGTACAAAAAAACGAAACAAAAAAATTATACATAACACATTCTTAATTTAAATTTAAACAGATATATTTATTTTAATTCGAATTGCAGGTTGTTAAAGTATTTTATAAGTTGGATTGCAGACCCACCAGGGCCACCACCACCAGGAAAAAAAAAAATTATTCTCGTTTAACACACCCGCCAGGATTGGGCGGCGGTTTCCACCTCTTAACTCCTCTGCTAGGTTTGGGTTTTGAGTTCTAGGCAGACATCCCGGTTGCCTTATACCACCTCCCTTTCCCCCTTCTAACTTCTATATTCTACAAAGAAAAAATAGGAGAAATCTTTTTATCTCTTTTTTTTTTTCTTTTTTTTCTTTTTTCCTTTTCAGGAAGTAGTTGAGAAACCTTTTAAGAACAATCTGCAAATGCTGGAGGGTTCCTTTCAAAACCCATGATTTAAAGATAACTTTGTTCTTCCTTTTATTCACGTTTTTCATGCTTTTCTTAGGTTGCCACTTTGCTGCAATATAAATAAGGAGTTTTCTTTTTCTTTTTCTTTTTCTTTTTTTAAGTTTAAACTATAATAAATTATAAAATATAAACTATTGAATGGAAGATACCCTTCTATATCAATGTGTTTGCCTTTATTTTTAAGGTCATCTCCCATCTAATAATTGTATTGTATAATTCAGATTACATAATATTTTTCTTTGTAAATTAATTACTAAACCAAAGTACAAATTAGACCATTAGTACCATTTAATGAAGTCTTGGCTTGGGGTGTTTACATTAGGAGTTGAAACTTAAATGTAATTGATAGTTGATGACTAATGCCTAACATATAAATTGTTGTTGTTTTAAAATTTAAACATTACATTTTATCATATTAAAATTAATAGCAAATAACTGCTTTGAAAAAAATAAAAACAAACATCCCTTATTGGTTAAAGTAGAGGTCTTATCATATTTTAAAGTTGCATTGAGTATGACAAATATTGACCACATATGGCTTGTTTTCTCTGAAATAATTGGTTAAGATGTTGGAAAAAATATTTTTTTAAGTTGATCCAAACGACTGAGGAGTAACAGATTTTTTAGTTACTAACTATTGACTAACAATTAAAATCGTTGGTTATTCCTAACAACCAAATCAAACTGGAGACAAGTCTCAAGCTCAATTTTTTTGTGTAGGTTATCCAACTTTATGTTAACTTGTTATAATTTATAAATTGGTGTTTTTTATTATTATTATTTTTTAATTTGTTAAATACTAATTGATTAATATTGTATATAACTAGTGAATTGTAATTGAAATTTCTACTTAATTAAAAAATTAGGCAATATCAACCATAAAGTTGGATTAAGGCTTTGTTTGAAATTGTTATGCGGTATTTGTGTTGTGACTATAGGTTTTTTAGTCTTTGCTATTTAAAACATATAGTATTAAATAAAATTACTAAAAATATGATATGTAGCATCTATTAAAATTAATTAATTATAAATAATTTATATTTTTAATAAGATATCTTTGTGTACTAGAATTTCAAATGAAGCTTAAATATGCACAAAATGAAATTTAACTTTTAAATCGAATAGTATATTTGGTTTGAAAGAATGCGAAAAGAGAAGTGAAAATTTTTCTATTTTATTAGAAAGAAATTGGAGGAGAAAGTAAGGAAGAAGAGTCCTTCACTTTATTATTTGCATTAATTTTTTCATTAATCGAAATAACAAGAGAAGAGAGAAATAAAAAGATATCTTATCCTTTTATTTTCCTATACTCTCTTTTTCTCTATATCCATCGAATTAAACATACTATTAAAATTTTAGAACCCCTTGCCATCATTGTCTGTGTAAAATTGAAGGTACCATTATTCTTATTGTAAACAATAAGAAGCAAGCAACCATTCTTATTCCCTCAGTCACTAAATCCTCATTAAATCCACAGACCATAGGAAAATGAAAATAATATTCGATTCAAATTCAATGAATCATACCATTTTATTTTTTATCCCTTTCTTTACCCATTAATTCATTATCTTTCCAAGTTTTTCAAAACCCAGTGACCCCCCTCTTTCCCAAGAAAGCTAGTGACCAACCCAATCAAGAAACTTGATTTCCAAATCCCTGATGATTTCTCCTAAAATGCCATCCTCGACTTCAACAGGATACTCTCCAGTAGGGCTAGGTAGTAAAGAATTTCTCCTCTACTAAGCTATTCAGGTTTAACTTTCTTACTCTCCACAGTGGTGTAGGTCAAGAAAAACAATTATCTTTCCATTCTTAAAGATCTTTTGCGAAAGAAGTCGAAAATAGCCTGAAACAGGAATCCTTCATCTATATATAAGTATATGAATATAGAATAATGAGACAAACAAAAGTTACAGACTATTCTCTTTGCCAAAGATTTGTGTTTAAGCTAAATAACACATTAAAGAAGATAACATGAGATATATTTTATACATACTTGAAAGAGTGCCGATTACAAAGGATTTGAGCTGAGTACAACCTTTGAACCTTTCCTGGACTCTCTCTCTCTCTACCTTCTATTCAAACATCAAAAGACCTCCCTTTCTACTTCTACAAAGGTCTATTTAAATAAAAACTAACCTGGGTTACAAAGTAACTGCAGTAAAAGTAACCTTAGTTACATTAAACTAACTACGGTTAACTAACCCTAGGGTTATTTACAGAGATAACTGTAGTCGGTTATTTTTATCTTTTGGGAAAGATAAAAAGTAACCGGTTTTTGCGGAACATGTCTCATGACAGTCACTTTGGAGTGAGGCATGCCTGTTCCTTTGTTTGCTTATTATCCCTCCATTTGATTTTCAAGATTTTCCCACCCAACTGAGTCAAGATCATCGTAAAAATCTATACCCTCCGGCTCATCTGGGTCATCATTGGGAAGGTCGTCACCTAAATCAGCGCCTCGATACTCGTATTGATCTTCACCATTTTTATATTCCTCAGAGTAAATATCTAGTAGTTGAGTGTAGCTGGTCTAAGGTGAGAAGGAAATCTCTTTTTGACTCTGACTCTGAAAGAACACATCAGGATCAAGATAAATTTTCTGAATATTATCCTCAGTAAAGAAGGTGTATCCAGCTGAAAAATCATCTCCCATGACCTGCATGTGGGCCATTGTTCTAGCTCTCCAGTGTCTGAGTTGTTTTGTGAGGGACTGAGTAGTGGATGGCTAGGCTTGAGCGTCTCTGTAGAGAGTCGGTAAACTGCTCCTTCTTCTTAGAATAATTTTGTGCTGTGCTGGGAGCAAATGTCTACCTTTCCATTCAGGAGCCTTGCTCTAAATCAATGCCTCAACATAGTTGGGAGGCATACTTTCTAAGACAGCGATGGCAAATTTTCTTCCAACAAGATCAGTATCCGCCATTTTTGTAAAAATTAATTGATAGAGAAAACCATAATCAAGGAGTAACTGTGGAGTTAACTCAATGATTTCCTCTTTATATAAAAATTGGATGGGTTCATAGGAGGATAGATCTAGAGAAGCTCTGCAAATGCTATAGACGAGTTGACATTGACAGTCATACCTATCCAGTGGAATCCCATCTGCAGTTTCTCCCTCACACCTATTACACCTTTTGAGTTTTCCTTCTGTAGCAGAATAATAGGTGTCCCATGAGAAGCCTATACCAGATCGGTTAATACCATCTTCAGCTATTTGTTGAAGGAATTGTTGAATTGCCTTCAATCTAGCATGGCCTGAAGCTTCTGCTTTCTGAAAAATTAGCTGTCTTGAATCATCTAGCAGCTCGGGTAAGGGAACTCGTGGATTGAAATACATCCTGAGTTGCCTCTGAGTGTCATCCACTAATGGAATAGATGTAGAAGTTGAGGAGGATCCTTCGATTAAATATTGATTAATTCCCAGTGGGGGAACTAATTGTCTTCCACCCGCCAGTGGGGCTAAGGTGGTCTTCACGATTTCTCCTGAAGGTTCCTGCAAATTTGGAGAAAGATGAGGGCTAATGAAAAAGCTGTCTCCAAGACACTGTTGAGCAAATTGGATAGCTTCTTCAATTAGATAAAACCCTTTATAGAGTGGTTTTCTAAAATCTCGTATTTGGAACAAGATCTCATCCCACTTCTTATAAACTCCAGGGGTTTTTCCCTTGATTAGAACATAATAATTAAATTTAGGACAATGGTATGTTTACCCTGCCGACCAACACCCTTACCTACACCCATTCGATTCAATAAATATAATATAATTTAAATAGATTTTTATAATGTTAAAGGCTTATCCCTAGCTTATTTGGGATATTTTATTTCTCCTTTCTGTGGTTCCTCACCTTCTTCCTTTCTTCTCCTTTCTTCCCCTTCTCTCTCCTCTCTCCTCTCTCCGTTCTCCATTGCCGGCAATCTCTTCCTTGTCCGATGTTGGTTCTCTTCTTGCCCCTCGATCTCCCTCATTGGCTCAAGCCTTTCCTCTCCAGTCTAGTTGTTTTCCCTTCCATAAAATCCACTACCCATCTCTATTCTCAATCTAGGTTTCAACAGATTTTGGCATCGTCTCACCCTTGCCTCTCTCATTCTCTCTGTTCCTAAGCCTCTTCTCCATTCATGCCTTCTTCCTCATCCGATTGAACCATGGAAAGTCTAATGTTCTAGATCTAGGTTTGGCAAGGCTACACAACGGGAAACCCATATGGGTTCCTAAATCTGTTCTCAAATCTATTGACCCAACTTCAACTCAACAACAAATTCATCCTTTCGATCATTGTTTTGATTTTAATAAGTTATTTGTTGCTTCGAAATTCCAAGAAAATGAAGAGAAAATGAGATCTTTTTTTGTTTAAATTTAAATTTTTTTACTTCTTGTTATCTTCTTTCTTGGGAATTTTTGTAGATTTCCATTTTAACTTGATTTTATTGCTTGGTTGGTTTATTGGAGGGGAGAATTGTAATTAGAGAATTAGATGTCTTCTTTTTTCCCATTTTATTCTTTTATCTGTATTACTTCCTTTGTTCCCATTTTCTTCATTTTCATTCTCACCTATACCTCCCTCACAAACTACTGATTGGATCAATTGCCCACACTAGAATCACAGAAGGGGAGGAAGGTAAGTAAGAGATTAAGCCAGAAAGAGTAGAGTTCAGAGAAAGAGATGAAAAAGATTGACAATTAGTAACCAGATCTGCTGCTAGATTAAAGTTGCACATGATTAAACCCTTTAGCTTAGGTGAGCTTTAATGGTTGGAGAGCATAAAACCCCAGAATGCAAAGGGGGCAGAGAAAAAAAATATATGGCATCAAAATGAATTAGAATGGTGAGAGTATACAGACGAGGTGGGTCTTCAGAAGAAATAAAAAGTAGTCACCGACATCTTCCTCTTACTGGTTGTAGAGTCGCATAATCTGGAATTTCATTATGACATGGCAAAATGAGTGAGTGCCCTCCCTGGCGAGGAGAAAGTCTATTACATCGAGAAATATGTTCGAAACACGAGTTAAGCAATATAGTATGAATGGCAACAAGTTTAAGCTGTTCCTGTCTAATTCCAAAACCGTAAAATATTAATTTTTTATTTAGTGTGCGACCATGGGTGAGGAACCGGATGTGCATGAATCGGCGTCCTTAAATTTATTATATTTTTTCAAATACTGGGCTAAAGTTTTTAAATTATTCTCAAAAAGGTTCAAATTGCCGAAGCTCTCCTGCATGTTGTTCAGAAGTTGATCAGCAACTGGATCCAAATTGAGACCTTCTGTACAGGACCTAGCTCTAGAGGTGTTGCCTCTATCGCTGGCTTTGCCTGAAGTAGAGCGTCTCATTATGATCCTGCACAAGAGAAGAATAAACATATCTACTTAGCCAGTCAGCAAGATAATTATCTTTACTTTTAATATGTTCGAATTTTACTTTAAAACCATTTCCAGTTATGATATTTACAAAATTCATCCATCTTTTAGAAGAAAGACTTTTTTCATTTTTCTTTTGAAAATATTTTACAATTGCCTCACAGTCTGTTCTAATTGTAAAAACATCATTTTGGATGAAAAGTCTAAAAGAATTTAAAGCATTAATTACTCCTAAGATTTCAAAATCAAGAGAGGTTAAAGAATTTTTGCTTTCTCTATACAAACCACTAGAATATCTACAAATCTTTTCTTCTTTTTGAGATGAGAATTCTTTTGGTCTGACTAACAGAATTGCTCCCCATCCTTCACTACTACTATCAGTCTCGACTATTTTGTAGTCTGATTCCAATGGTAGAGTTAGAGAGGGTAACTTTTTAACTTCATCTTTTATTCTTTTACAAGTTTGATGTCCTTACTATTGAAAAACTTTTGTCCTTTGGGACTAAGTTTTACATATAATGGTCCAGTCAGTTTAGATAGATCCTTTATATACATTCGGGCATAATTGAGTATACCCAAGAATTTTTGAAGTTCTTTAGTTTCCTCGATTTTGTCGGGAAAGTCAAGAATCTTCTGAACTATGTGATCTTGCAACTGAATTTTTCCCTGTCCAATCCTCATTCCTAAAAATTCAATGTACTCTTTGGAGAGTTCCATTTTCTTT